TCTTTAGAAACCACTTTGAAGATACCAAAGTATAGTACAACAACTATTGATAATCCCCTACCACTTTTGTCTGTAACTCACTATTATCTGTCTATTTGTTTTCCTGAGAAACTATCTTGTAGATAACAATATGTAAAACAATAACCATTGATAATTTCCTACCACTTTGTCTGTAATTTGGTAAGCCCCCCCTATTATTATGTTATCCTTCGTTTACTCTTTAATAAAAAAAGTACCTGTCCTTAAAAAAAATAAAATAAAATAAAGTTACAAAACTCTAGTGGCTGAAAGAACGGGAGGCAGGGTCAGGAGGCGCTGTCTGCATGCCCGTGGGCCCAGCAGCACCACCCGCAGCAGCCGGGAGGTGAAAGCAGGCCTCGTGTGCAGCTGAGAAATGCACAGCTAAACACAATGTGGTGCCCACACGTGATGGAATATTAGTCAGCCAGGAACAGGAACAAGGCACTGACACACACACACTACAACATGAACAGACTTTGAGAACTATGGTACAAAAGGTGGTTGTTAATTTCTGGTATTCCTGAAATTTTTCTTCCTGTGACAGAGAATGGAACCCAAGATCTTGCACACAACAGGGAAGCAGCCTAGCACTGAGCTAGAGCCCGTCTCATGTTTTATTTTTATTTTTTGGTTTTTTTGAGAGTAGGTCTCACCGTGCAGCTCAGGCTGGCCTTGAACTCCTGATGATCCTCCTGCTGAAGCTTCCCAGGGGCTGGGATTACAGACGTGCACCACCATGCCCGGCTTCTGCCTTGGGTTTTGTTTCTGAATATTCCCAGCGTGGCTGACATCTGCAAGGGCCCGCTGCAGGGGTTCGCTAGCAAGAAGCGTGCCTCCAGGCGTGGTCTGGCCGCCCTCTTCTCCTGCTGGCTGGGGTGCAGCCCCCAAGGCCCGGCAGATTCTCTGGGTGGCCGGGGCCCTGGCAGGCTCAGGCCTCAGGACACTGCTCGCAGTTATTTTGGGCCTCGGCAGCTTGGGGTTGAATGGAGAAAACCCCTGAGCTGGGCTTGGGGCACCGGGGCCCAGGCCCCTTGGAAGGACTAACAGGAGCCCTGCCCAGGGCTGGCCAGGCTTGAGACCGGCCAAGAGTTCAGTTCTGTGCTCTGGCTGTGTGTGGGAAACCTGGCATCAGAGGCCCAGGACCTACGGTGTGCCAGGGGCAGATGTGGGCACCAGCCTGGGACTGTTACCAACATCTGCATGGGAAGCTGGCATCCCCCCTGTGTAATAACCTTCGCAAGGGAGGGACAGGCATGCAGTAAGGGCCAAGTGGGTAGGTCACCGCAGGCAGTTTCGAGTCAGGCTGCAGCTGTGCAAAGGTCCCGGGGCTGCCTGTGGATGACACAGGGCTGGGATATGTGGGAGGCCAGGTCTTCACCGGGCAGCCAGAGTCCTCTCTGTGGGACTCGAGACGGCTTTTGTGACCCCTCAGGCTCTAGCCAGTGGCTTTGGGCAAATAACCTTTCAGCCCATGCCTCAGTTTACCCTCGCTGCTGTGGCTAGATTGTTTTAGCAGTGGCATACAGCAGGCTCTCGGTGAACACGGGCACCATTCGTGACTGGCTGGGCTTCAGCCCCTGCTTCGTGCCAGTGAGTGGCCTCACTCCAGAACTGCCTGATCCCTACAAGGAGGGAAACTGAGGCCGGGTAATGCGGAGGGGGCGCAGAGTGTGCGCACAGTTTCTCTGGCTGGGCCTGCAAGCCCGGTGGCTGGAGGCGGGGCGCGCACCCTAAGGCCCCATCTGGCAGTGCGGGGAGGAGCACAGAACGCGCACGCAGCCGGGGACGGGGCAGGGGAAAGGGCCGGGGCGGGGCCGGGGCGGGGCCGAGCGCGCACATTGATGCCCAGTCCGGGACGGGGAGGGGCTGCTGCGCTCAGGGGGCGTGGTTTGGGGCTAAGGGCGGGGCCTTGCCCGGCTTGGGGGGCATTGTGCTCGCATAACGACTGGCCGGGCTGGACCTGGAGGGGCGGGGCCTAGAGGGAACGGCTCCGCGGAATGGGCAGAGGCGGGGGCGGGGCCTCTAGCGTCACGGGGAGCGCCTGGCTGGGCGGGGCCTGGAGGGAACAGCGCCGCGGAGT